CTGCATTAATTTTTACAGGAGCAAGAAGAAAATAGAATCAATCAAACCTGCACAGAGTAACAATAAGCACTGTAACTCTTGATTAAATCTGATTTTCAGAATAGAATTTGGCCCAAAGAAAGTTAGCATTTCAATAATAATTAATCACAGTATATAAAATAAACCATTTGGGTTTTTTTAATATAGTTCTAAAACTAAGCTAAATTACTCAGCTGAAGTAAGAGCTGTAGATGCTGCTTGTGTTTTGCCTGTTAAAATATGATGTTGCTCCAAACATCACTTGCACTCTTTTAACCCACCTAAGGCGGTGATGTACAAGGAATAACACTATAAAACTTTGCCAATGGCTTCTGGTGTGTTCAAATGCAGTGTTTCAGTGTTTTGACTGACCACGATAGCCTGCTGTTAATAGGATTTGCTTACAAGAACCCTTACTGGAGGCTCTCGTTAATTCCCAGCCAGGCTTCAGCAGCCTGCGTGAAAGAAGATTTCATCTTGATATGATTTTCTTGTACTAAACTGCTTGTGTGCCAGGAACTATTAATGAGGGAGGCCAGCTGAAGGAAGCCATAAGATGAAATAGGAGAGGGGGTGGGGGGGAAGTAATTTGGATGGCAAGGTGTGGTTGAGGGTTTCAGAGATGGAAGATTCCTTCAGAAAAAGTGGGGTGAATATGCCCCTTTACCAAGGCCTCCAATTAAAATTGAAATGACAGAACCCATGAGAGTGAGCCAAAGATCAGAGAAGAAAGACTTGTGAATATTCACCCCACTGGAGAAGCAGTCTCACCTGCAAGGTGGTCCCTTAGTTGTTCAGCTGCTGGAGTGCCACGTTCCTGGCTCCCACACAGTGAGGAGGAAAACAAGGGCATGCAGATGCATCCCTCCAGCTCCCGTGCCAGCAGAGAGCCAGGTCATGGCTGGAGGTCCTTCCCATGCATTTCCACATGGGTAAGGAGCATTTGAGTTTAGGGTATGAAAAATGGGTATTGCATAGGCAAGGAATGCCTCAGTAAGGTAAGCATTACATATTATTTATGTATTTTTTCTTGGTCACATCACATTTCTACACAGTAGCCATAGCTGTGACAGTGACCTGCCATTAAGATGCAAGCTCTAGAAAAATGTTCTGTACTTTCTAGAATTTGTAAAGAAATGACTGTGCTTAGCTTAATACAATACTTACTGCAATTTATGCAGAGATTTCTTAACTAATTGCATCCTTAGGTACACTAATGCCTATAAATGGTGTGAGTGATATAATAATTCCAGGGTAACTTCTACAAACAAAATGTTTGACATCTGTTTTGTAGCTAAGAAAATTGGAAAAAGACAAGATGACAGCTGCAGAAGCATAAAATAATGTCATAAGATTGTCTGATATCATTCATATAGATCACTTGACTGTGATGGCAAATTAAATCATGCTGTTTTCCAAGATTCACTCATAGTCAAAATTGTATATCTTCTAAAACAACAGCTTTGTGCATTCCTAATAATATGTTAGCATCTCTTTCAATTATGAAAACCACTAAAGATTTGATTTAAAAATATTTTTCCCTGTGGCCATTAAGGCTTCAAATTATGGAAAACGTCTCTGATTCTAACTTACCGTTGCACAGCTGAAAGGGGAATAATCCATTGTCTTCTTGATTATTTTCAAGACAGTGGTGAAAATACATTACAAATATTTGAAAAAATTTTGGCAAATTGCAGAAAGATCACAGAATCTTGTTAAATATTGTTACTGTCCAGGATCAGATTTGAGGGAAAACTAATTTTAAAAACTATAGATTAACAATCTTTTTTAGGTTTTTTAATTTTAAACAATTATAAAAATTTTATTACAAATAATCCAAAGATAAATTTAAAATATTAAAACAGATAAGAAATCTCTGTGATTCTTTTTTACCCGAGCACAACTAGGATGGCATATGAGAGAAAAATATCCATTCTCTAAAATGCCTCTTAAATGCCTCTTAAATTTTGTCTAAATTTTTGTCTAAATTTTCCCCTGTGATTCTATCTTCCCTGATAGTTGTACTACCACTAGCTACAGTAGCAATGAGGTCGCCAGACTGGAGTCACTCTTTATTAAAATCGGTTCCACATTTAAGAGTTCAGCATTCAGCAGAAATGTCAGTCAAAAGTAAAGGGCAAAACCCTTCTCCATACTCTGAAATGCTCTCCATATTTTCTGTGCTTTTCAGGTAGACTCCTGCTCAGTAACTAAGCAACCACATCCTGCACCTCTAACTCACACATTTTGATCCTACCAGAGGATTTTCTTTGGCAAAGTTTATATTGAATCAATTGTAGATCTGCAGGTCAAGTCTAAAATATGCTTGTTATAAAATCATGAATTAAATACTTCAGTGAATAATTGTAGGTCTGCAGATCATCTCATTTATGAATATTGTAACCCACACTGAAATTTTCGGTTGGTAATGTATGTTCTACAGTAAATCAAGAAAAGTGAATTTAAGCCACATATATCTTTGGCCTATATTGATACCATTTTTTAAAAATTAACAAGCTGAGAATGAATGCTTATTGTCCCACTGACTATAATTTTGCCTAGGTTTGCTTTGCTTTATCCTCAAGGATCATAACATTTTGTTTGGATAAGTAATCAAAACAAAGCCAATAGAAAATTCTGAACCTCCTTTTGGAAATGTAACATTTGAATTAAATGTTTACCTCCCATGAGTAAGTCACATGGGCATTCTCACAGAGAAGCATTATGCTAGTAAAGCTCACATGATCACATATTCATAGAAAACAAATATGAAAGGATTACAACCACAGTTAAATGGAAGTTCCCTTATGAATGCAAATTAATATTTAGCTGAGTATTCAGTCAGCTCTAGTCCTTACTCATGAAAAACTCCAACATTACCAACCAGAGGGCCAGTCCCACATTACAAATAGCACACAGTCAAAATAGGAAGTTTGCAGAGGTGGAAAGGTTTTATGTAAGCCATCTGAGGAGCATTTAGCAGTAAGGAAAGTATTTGTAAGGGTCAGAAATGATGGAGTGTAGTTCAAGATCAGGATCACAAATCAGGACCATAAATGAAGGATGTTGATCAGTCCAGAGCCCTCCATGGCTGGTCACAATCCAATCACCCCAGAGCTCCTTCATGTCAGTGCAAAGCTATGGGGCCAGAGTGTAAACACACAAGCTCCTCAAAGGGGAATTTCAAATCCAATTCTTCACAAAGGTTGGTTTTGTAATTTATTCCAAAGAAAACAGAGAATGTCAATGGGTACAGCAGACATCTTGACATCCTAAACCATATCAGTCTAATCTAATGCATTTGGGATTGGGATTAAATTGGGAAAAAGAAACACTCTCTCATTCTACCAGAGTAATTGTTCCCAACCTTTATTAACCATGTGTTTGCTGCTAGCTTCAGATCCAACACAATCTGTGTGGACATACAGTATCTGTATCTAGTCTAGCTGTATGAACTAGCCCAAGTAAAAGATTTATCTTTATAAAGTTTGGCTGTATCTGTGCACTGCTGCCAGCAACATAAATGAACGTTGTACTTACTTGAACAAAAGCCAAGCATAGACAAGTCACAAATGCTTGAGATGCAATTAAGAAAGAGACCATGCAGCAATCATGGAATAAATTAGGTGGTCAGGGATGTCTAATTTACCTCCCTGATCAAAGAGGGGTCCTGGTGATCTGAACAGTTCAGATGGGTCATGGTACTTCAGGTTTCATTGTTCCTGCAGTGGTCAGGCTTATTAAGTCTGTTAGGGTGTTTTTTCTCTCTCTCGAATCTATTGGTAATCTGAGATAAAATATTATATGAAAATGTCAGTTATGTAACTATAAGCAAGGCATAAATCACACTATCTCCTACTATGTTTTCTAGTCTGAAGGATAAAACATGATTTGTAAAAGAATAATAGGAATACAGAACTGTAAGCAGTTTTAATCATACCACCCCTGACACTAAATGCATATAATGTTTCTCTGATTTGGCCTAAGATATTCAAAAGGTGAGAAGATAAAACTACATCACTCATGTAACATATGCTTTACCCTCAAAAATTACTGAGGCAGGATTTGTATTTGTTACAATAAAGTTCACTGTCAGAGGAGTTAACTGTTAACTGCATTGTCATTTAATTATGTCAAATACCATGCTGAATCTTCCAACAGGTAATTTCAAGAAAATTATTGGTTAATGTAGCCACTTAAGTGAAACATTTTCACCTTTTGTTTTAAAGAAAAAGAAAGAAAGAAAGCACCTCTTTTACAGACAGTAAAGTCTGTATTTATTTTTGTGGAGGAGGATGATGTTTTTGTCTCTTTTCAAAACTTTTGTAGTTGGACTTTACTGTGAACACGTTTGAAAGCTGCCCTTAATGCCATTCCTTACTTCAGAACTAATTGATTCACTCTGTTAACATTCCTGACACACAAATGCAATCAAGGGTCTTTTGCATGATGTCTGCTAACCAGGCACAGGAGCCAATGTAAGAGCTGCTGTTTCGAGCCTCTGAGATAGATGGGGCTTTTCTGCATGACTCACCACTGCTTTTATTGTACAGATTTCTTTTTCTGTACAAATTACTCTGACATGCAAACCTAGCATCACTATTTCAGAGTTTGTAGCACAGCTGTTAATAATAGGTTACCGTATTAAACAGAAAGTTAACTCTAGTATGCATCCAAAATGTAGAAAATTAAACAAAACCACAAAAATAATGTATCAAGGAAGCATAATAAAATGCTATTTCTACTTTGAGGAGCAGCAACATCTTCTGCCAAGCAGCAATGAAGCAGCTGCTTTCTCCTGCAAGCATTACCTCAGCCTCTTCTGGACAGATAGGCTTTTATCCATATCTCCATCTTCATGAGTCATTGTATAAACTGTTTGGCTGCTCCAAGCTGGTCTAAAGAACAAGAAATATAAAGAGCAGGTGTCAGCACACAGTGGAAACCACAGTCCTCATCTCCACAGTCACCTTCCCAGAGGCACTGCCCTATACAGGGGCACACGCAGGGTGACCAGCAGGGCCCCCAGGGAAGGGTTCACACCAGAGTCCCTGCAGACAGAGGGACAGAGCTGCTCAGTGACACTCTGCTGCCAGGCGTGGCTGGACCAAAAGCAGGCAAAGAGTTCGTCCTTCATCCTAGTTAAAAGATCACTAGATGACACTGCCCTGGGCAGCAGCTGGAGTTAACGATGTGCCAACAGACAGGTAAGTATTTCAGTTACTGTGTGCAAAAGATTTTCACCCAGCCTCTCCACCAGACACTCCAAAACCAGGTGATTTGAGATGAGTGAAAGACTGAGTGATTGTCAGTGATTGTGTCCGATCTCAAGCCACCAGGTCTTAAGTATTTCTAATGGCTTCATATCTTTCAAGAGATCTTAGTCATGCAATGATTGCATTGTTTGAATCAGTTTATTCTAGTCATGACAGGACACATCCCAATTTACATATTATTTTGTGTTCCCAGCTCTCTCATTAATGTTTAATGTCTCAATTCAGCCATCAATCCCCACTCAGCAGAACGATTCAGCTAAGTACATATTTAAATTTAAGCACATTCTTAAATGCTTTGCTGAAATGAAGCAGTCTTACAAACATGCTGACATGCTTTGCTGAATTGGATTTTCATACACCAAAGAGTTCACATGCCATAGGCACTTGGGAGAGGAGCATTCCTCTTCCTCATGTGCATTCATGTCCAATGTTTGGCTTATGAAGGACATAGCATTCTACAATGTTAAAGCATTATACTTAAGGAGGGGGTGGTTGCAATCTTGTTTTGTTTTTGCTGCTGCTTCAAATATCATGATACAACGAGAAATTAATTTTGTATTTGTTTGATTCTTTCAAGTGATCTATTTCAAATTGAAGTTTGAAAGATAACTATGACTGAAGACCTCTGCTCATAGTAAACTGATCAGATTTAGGTAATGCCTGATCACTGGCATTATTCAGATCTCAAAGGAAGGGAAAATGAGTAAACCTTTGCACAAGATGTAATTTTGTCCCTGGTATGTCAACTAGTAGAAATAAAAATAAAAATAAAAAAAACCACAAACAAGCAATCAAACAAACAAATGCCAAACCAATCAAATGTACTGACACATTTCTCAAATTGGGATATTTGCCTTTGTCCAGCTTGTCTCTTAGACCGAGAGTGACCCAATTCTTTTACCTTTTCTTATAGAAAAGTTAATGATACGTTGCTCCAGGACCTTGGTTTGGTGGGTGTGAGGGAAGGATTTGTATTTTTGATTTTCCTTTTCAAACTCTTTTACCCATTCCTCCCTACCTGAGAATGAATGTAGAAAATACCCTTCAGGCTTTTGCAACTCTAGGGGAAACATACAATTTACTATAGTCACATATGTTCATTGCTGCTGGTAATGGTGGAAGCTGTAGTAGATTCACTTGCTTTAATGATTGTTTCATACATATTTTTGCTTAAGCATTAAAAAACTTATAAAACACTTATTTCTAAAACTGTAAATATCTGAGAAATGTTAGCACTTGCCTTTACAAGACAGCTGTCACCAGCAAGAGCTCTTACATAATCTGTTTACCTTACAAGGCATCCAAATCTCCCAAGGTATCCAAATCTCTTGTAGGATGGGGGAGCTGAGGACAGACAGTAATCTGAATGGGCAATTTTGTGCTAAAGACACTCCTTACAACGTTTAGGATATGTCTATTACCTCAAAGTTTGATTTAAATTTGTCCTAGTTATGGATGAAAGTCAGAGGAAGGAAGCTTTTCTCGTACACCTTTTAATCTGCTCAACCATACTCCTAATTTTATACCAAATCTTTTTTCAGTCAAAGTGCATGTTCATTATATACTCTGTAATTTTATGCAAGGAGTATGTGCATGACAACAATAAAGAGCTTTGCAGCTTTCAGCTTATGCAACAATAAAGACTTACTACAGCTTGACCTAATCTATATTCACCAGTCCTATCTGACTGGTTTAAACTGAAGAAATTGATTTTAGGTTTTCAACCAAATTCCAATAAAAGCCTGGCATTTAAAGTCAGAATCTCCCTTCTCCCCCACTCACTCCCCCTCCCCCAAAAAACCAAAACAAATAAACAAACAAAAAAGTACAACTGTTAGAGTTATCTGAAAGATAAAGAGTCTTTTTCGGAAAAAAAACATGGGAAAGCCCTAATCAAATAAAAGTATGTCAAGACCTGAACAGCACACAGATTTGTCTATTTCATTATCTGCAAACTGGGCAGGAAAAATGCTGTGACCTAATTGGTATCTCTCAAGCTATGGACAGTAACTGGACAGGGTTTTTTTGTGCAGCATTTGCTTCTTTTCATCAAAACCTTTCTGAGTATTAGGTGCTGTCTAGGGACCTTCTGATCTGTGTCATTTCCCTTACTTCAGTCTGTTACCACAGTAATATTCTATTTATCATTCCTCAGTTTTAGCTAAGATGTAAATGTTTTTTGGGGATTTTTCCTGTTAAGGCGTCTTTGGGCCTAGGGAATTTCACTGTGTAGTTTCAGATAGTCACAAAAAGTCAGTTGTTGGTCATGAACGTTGAGAGCTATGACCAGGACTCAGAAGCACATGCAAACACGTAAGCCAGCCAATTGCTGGAAACTGGAGATGAGGTTTCCTCTTCCTTAGGTCACGGAGTGGAGGGCACTGCTCTGAGTGCAGAATGGACAGGCACCCCCGAACTGGCAGTGAGTGTCCCAGGCAGATCTACTGCCAGACCTGCAGCAGAAACACTGCGAGTGCTCACATGGCAGCACCACACAAGTCTCACAGCTGCTGCAATATCACAGTTGTTAGTCCTTACAACAGCTCCTTCAACCCAGGAAAGCTTTTATTTTTTGCTCTACAGTATTTGCAGGAGTATTTGCTAAATTAAATGTGCCGCAGAGGAGGTCAGGAGACTGCAGACATACGAAATCAAGACCAAAAACTGCAGCTACTGAAGGAAGCCTCCACAATCAGCCATTAAGTACAGTTATTGATGGCAGACTGCACTGGTTACAATGCACATACTAACACTAACCTGTGTTTTTGGCAGACAGTATTTTCAAGGCTTTGGTTCAGGGGCCCTTGAGTGAGCATCAGCTTCCCATGGGCTCCTCAGCACGGCATGAGGCTTCACAGATTAAAATCAACCTGTACCATACATGACATCTGTGTGCACTGCTCCTCAAAAACAAGGTACATCAAGGGACCAGAAAAACGGTAACCTGCCACCTTAAATTCCCTTTCCTGGTGTCGTGCTCCCTACTCCTGCTTTAATACTGCTTTAATACTGCTTTCTACCAACGTTAGCTTTGGTCATATTGTCATAACGAAGGAAGCAAGCCAGTCTGTGTCATACATGGGGATTTCAGGAAGCTAATTAACAGGAGAGAGCTGTGGGAGTTTCTGAGAAGCTGAGCTCTGATGTAACCCAAAGCCATGAACTAGTAAGCTTTTAGATGCTCTAGCCATACATAATTTATGTTTGTCAGTCACATGGCAGCAAAGCTCATTTTGCATAATGGATACTTGTGATGGAAAAGTGCTTACAGGGTTTCAGCAGAGCAGACAGACCTTTCATCTATCTGTATCAAAGAGAAATTTAAAAATTATGGGAGTTTGCAGCATTCCTGTTGAAAACTCTGAAAGCAAGGCTTTAAAGATGTGCAAAAACTTCTAAGGTGGCACTCGTAATCACAGAATCGTGGAATCACAGAACGATCTGGTTGGAAGGGACCATAAAGATCACTAAGTTCCAACCTCCTGTGCCATGGGCCGTGACACCTTCCACCAGACCAGGCTGCTCAAAGCCCCATCTAACCTTGCTTGAACACCTCCAGGAACGGAGAATACACAGTCTCTCAGGGCAACCTGGGCAAGTGCCTCACCACCCTCACAGTAAAGAATTTTTTCCTAACACACAATCTAAACCTACGCTTAATTTGAAGCTATTCCCTCTTCTCCTGCCACTATGTGATATTCCGAAGTGCCGCCGCACCATCGGCCATTTCCACCGCATCCTTTTCTCGCCTGCAGTTCCTACACAAAAACCCCATCTGGCGGCGGAGCAGCGGGCGCCAGGAATGCGGCGTGGAGCTGCCCTTCGCACCGGGGCCGCGGCTCCCCCGAGCTCTCCGCAGGGCGCGGAAACCACTGCGGGAAGCGCCGAGGAGCGGGGCTGTGCGGGGCTGTGCGGGGCAGGAGCGGGTCTGGGCGGGGCCGTGCGGAACTGTGTGGAGGAGGAGCGGGGTTGTGCGGGGCTGTGCGAAGCAGGAGCGGGGCGGGGCTCTGTGCGGGGCTGTGCGGAGCAGGAGCGGGGCGGTGCGGGACTGTGTGCGGGGCTGTGCGGGGCAGGAGCGGGGCCGTGCGGGGCGGGCGCGGGACAGGCCCGGGCCCGTGCGAGGCAGGCGCGGGGCGGGCGCGGGGCAGGCGCGGGACAGGTGCGTTACCCGCCGTCCGTTACCCGACGTTCCCGGCACTGCCCGGCCCCGGTCCCTCCATCCCGGTCCCAATGGACGACTCGGAACAGCAGCCCGTCCCGGAGCCGGCCGAGATGGCCTATTTCGGGCCCACCTCCCTCACCTACCTCCCCGTCCTCCAATGGTGCGTGCTGGCCCCCTGCCGCTGCCGGGGACGGGCCGTGGCCGAGGATGGAGCGGGAAGTGGCGCGGCCGTCTCTGCCTTGCCGGGGGCCCGCAGGATCTGCCTTGCCACGGGGAGTGTAGGAGTCCTGCTTTTAACCCTTCTCGGGGTATCTAGGACAAGAGTGGGGTTTGCTGCAAAGGCCCCATCATCATGGTGATGCATAAACGATACCAAGATAGCAGGGACATGTTCCTGAAAGACCATCTCCTGCCATAAGCCTAAGAGATATGGAGGTGATTTGACATGGGGGAGACAGCCCACTGGCTGGGATCTGGCCTCTGGCAGCCATCCACTTGGTGTGATGCTGCAGGGCAGTTCTGGAGGCTCTCCCTGGGTCGAACTCCTTAATGAGACGCTTTGTGTAGTGGAGGAAGGTTGTCACCACTATTTTCTTGGGCTTTGAGAAGAGTATCATCTGCCATGCCACAGCCAAAGGGAAACCAGGGTTCCTTTACTTCTCTCCCCAAGCACAGAGGAGTCCTAAATAATGTTGAAGCTTTTGGGAAACAGTAACAACACATACAAACTTTTAACTTGTCAGCAAGTAATCTTAAATAATTTTCCTCT